AAAAAAGTTATGATATTTTAAAAAATTAAATTTTATAAATTATAATATATAATAAATTATTAATAATAATATATTAATATACTATATTAGTAATATACTAATATAGATATAATATATTTATATAATATAAGTTATATAATTAATATAATATATTATTTATATATATTAACGTTAGAGATGTTAAAATCGCTCCTCATTCGCGAACAGCTCGTGTTCGACTCATTCGTTAAGATACGAACAAGAACAGTGACTTCACAAATAATTTCGAGCACAAGCTTATTTCAATAAAACTAAATTTCAAACGAACCGAACACGAACACGACCTCTATTCGTTCGTGTTTGGTTCGTTTACACCCCTACCCTCGACACATAAATTGATAAGTCGGTTGGGTACAATAACCGATATACCGATATTAGGGTGGGGTTAATTAAGGTTTAATTAATTTAGTTAAACATATAACTTCTAATTTTTATATCTTTCAATTTATTCATAATTTATATATAATTTTTTAAATCAAATTCATCAATTTGACGGATGGAATTTTATAAAATTAACTCCGTTGAAATTTGAAAAATCTAAAATTTAGAATATATTTTAGAACATCAAATTCTTTATCAAATTTCTCGAAAATTCATTATTGCACATCTTCTCTAGCGTATATTGTTCGTGAATCTCTCCTCATCATTCATTTTTATTTTACTCTTATTTTTGTCCTAAATGGTGAGCAAATTCACTGCCATCAACAAGATTATGACTAATACAACCATTGAATTTTAGTTTCTTTCGTGCATTACTTGTACAACAATTGTAGTCAGCAGCTTGATAGCAAAACTGTTAAATTTTGTTTGGGTAAAAGTTCTTGTACATAGAGAAAGAGAGAGAGAAGAGGAAGTCAACTAGTAATGAAGTAGAGGAGGACTCGAGTAGGTAGTTAAATTTTCATTCAATAAAAAGATGCATGAATTATTACAATATAAAATAAGTAAGGAGTAACCATCGAGATGTTTCTGCTTAAGAGATGAGCGTCTCTTTCAACCCTAAGGAAACGGACGAATAGGCC